ATGTTATAAAAGTTCAAGTGCTTCAACTATATGGCTTGAATCTCTTAGCTCAAAATGGTTAAACTAAAAGATATTGCACTTGAACATATTCCTCTTAGTGTTGTTTACGTATCAACACTATACAAACTAGATCTTGTCTTGTGTAGATAATGGATTCAAGGGTTAGAAACCCACTTCATATGAGATCAAGAAGTATATTAGTCTATTGTTAAGTATTTGACTTGATACGAAATAGATATGTACAGATAGTGAAGATGGAGTGGAGGTTTATGTGACTGGTACTACAACTTAGTGTTGTAAGGTAGAGAAACTGACCTCCTATTTGATATTGAGATAGTATCAAAGACTCCATTAAATTTGATCTCAATTATTGTTCTTCGAAGAGGGGTCTCTTACTTGAACTTGTACGTGGTACTTCTGTTCGTACTCACAGTGGTGATGTTTATTATAGTTCTGGATATTTGTGCAATGGTTTGAGATTTTGAGTTGAAAAAATCATTCAAAGCTGTAAGAGCTGAACTTTCATAAAATAAATCAATCCGAACTTCTTTGTAGGTCATGATCAAGAGAGATAGGAATGGAATTTTACTTTTTCATTACATTTATAGATGGATTCATGCACTTCAATTATGAGACCGATTTTCTTAAGTTGAAGTTATTGTATTGATTTAGACTTTTATGAAGTCCAGTAAAAAATCAGAGTATGGAAGTGAAGATTTTAAGAATTGTTTGATAGCGTGAATCTCTATCACGAGATATTAATGCTCTATGTAATGAGAGAAACTCTTATTGGATTGACTATTTTTTAACGTCCCATAATTATATGGTGTATTGGATTGAAGGAATAAAATATTGTTGAATATGATAAGGTTTGAGATATGCAGTACAACTTACGTATTTGCTTTTGGAAAGAGCGTTGCCTAACTACAACGTATCAGTTAATGGAGTTCTCTCAATATTGGTAACTTCAAAATATATAAGTTTTGGACACATAAATAATCGAATGTGGGTTATCATAGACTCTTAATTGACTATATATGTTCTCGATAATGAGTATGGGAACATGAGTCTGTTAAAAATAAGATGTGCCTCGATGACATACATGTAGTCCAAAAAGGTATTTAAGTGAAATTTTTGAATGGATATCGAGTCATAAGATATGACATTTGACATTTTTCCCAATAAGGGAGAAAAAAATTGGAGAATATCGTTGAAATTAATATTATATGTATTGATGAATCAGTTTTGAATATATAAGAGATGATTCAAACTTCTAATTCAAGTGGGAGTAATCTATTTCCGAGTTGGACTTATCTATCTAAGTAGGAGCCATTTAAGAACTATCTAATTTAATGATTCATTGTTCCGAGTTGGATCTAAGAGCTATTTAATGCCAATGATTCTTGGTTCAAAAAATCAGAAGATAAATTTTGAGAAAAAAGATGGAAGTATATATATGGAGTATACAATTTCGACCTAATTTGAGATATGGTGAAAGTTCTATTAAGACATTATGTTTATCGAGAACATTCAGACTCTTGAAATTTAAGTGGAAGACTAATGAGTTTCTGATAGATAAAGCTCATTTTTTAAAAAGGTTATACTCAATGTGAGTGTATTGAGTTGGATAATTTTTTTCATAACGATGAGATTCGCTTCTGTACATCAATGCTAGCAATGATGGTATGTCTTAATTTAGAGTTACACCAAATCAACCTAAAGATTGTATTTTTATTCTCAATTGAGAAATGATTAAAGATAGCAACATGAATCGACTTTTAAATTTCATGTTAAAGGCTTTTTTTTTGGTATTGTGGTAACTTTACAGTTACACGTATGGCCAAATACAGTCATCTCGACAGTCGTACTTGAGTTTTTAACAGGGTTAAATCTCGTCTAAGAATTTTGTCATATGGACGAAAATTACTGTATTTGTATAAAAGGTCTAATGGTAGGTTGTAATTCTAATATTGATATTGATGACATTGGATTGACTAAACATGATAAGGAGTGCATAGAGACCATTTTGAAATGATTGTCGTCAATTTTTGAGACAAAAGACATGGGTTTAGCAAATTGTATGATTTGTGCTAAGAATACTTTTCATATATCCTTGTTCTATCATAAGAGTTTTATACTATAAATGTTTATGTGGAATTGCAACCATGACCATATAAGTCTTTATAATTGTCCAAAGACTTCATAAGTGCACAAAAAAATATCCAGAGAATCATATCTAGTACGATTAAGAGTTCGGAGATAGAAGTATACTATGATATATACTTGTCCTAACAATGGTCATGCCATTGATCTAATAAGTAGGTATCAATATTATCTTTAGAAAATATATTGTGATACCTGAAGGGTGCTGCTGTCAGTTATTCTATTTCATTGTCAAAGGAATAACTTGTGATTGGAATAGATATACAATTGTTGATTAAGAATGAGAGTTAGTCAAGCACAATTAGTTATTTTGACTTGTGCGCTTTTGTTATATAGAGTAGCAAGAAGCATATGTTGTAATGTATATCTTAGCAGCTAAAGAAATTATTTGGTATGGATGTATTGAGCATCTAATAATACTGGTTGAGAATATGAGATCCATGATAGTTACGCAACTATCTTATATGTTAAGATCTCAATTATCAAAATAGAACCAAACACTTAATAATAATTCTGTGAGAGACATTAGTAATGAAAATGTCTTTGCGATATATTTACGTAAATGATTATATGTAATCATCATACTCTGAAGATGTCTAGAGATATATTTGTTGATAATATGGAATCTTTAGAATTTCGTAGAATATGATACTTGGTGTATCAGACAAACTCTTGATTAAATTTTGTGTGCCCATAGATGAACAATTTCGAGTTCATGTGTAATCTAATGTTGGGATTACAAGACAAATGATTTGTACGCACATATAAAGTAGGTCGAACGGGTTGAGATCGGCTTACTAACACAAGCAATAGCCTCAAACGTTTTAAGATATGTTGAGACGAGATACAATGATCATGTTGTGTACATGATCCAGTCACCTTGATAGTGATCATTTTGTTTACACGATCCAGTCACTTTGATAAGGTATCAAGATGATATTACAATAAGTAATCGAAATGGATTTCGCTATCCATTAAACCCGTTTAGTTGCCAGATCAAGTTCCCGATTTGAGAATGTCTGGAGGAATGAAGATAAGAAGAACTCAAGTTAGGTATCGAGAAATACTTGAACTAGGATCTGTACGGTGTTATTTGTTTACAAAAAATATGACATAAGCCCTAAGAAAGGGAGAGAATATCGTAGCACGTGTTTCATATCGTGTGTGCTTTTACGACCAATATTGGGTAAATGAGTGAATGGGTCCTTGCTTCCTCATTGTGTGAGACCTTGGGGTTTATGTAACCTCATGTATACCCTTATGACTTTTGACTGTTTCTTGAGATTTTATTTCAGTGTTGCTAATTTAGCATGTTGTCAATGACTATGATTGATTCGATTTGATGGGGCATGTCTAGGAAAGCAGCTGATTTAAAATCGAAGGATTCACGTAGGAAAGGAAAATTATTTTGACCAATATTTATGTTTGTGTTCACCGACCAGACAATTGTGTTTAACTATTTGGGGTATAGAATGCAATTGTGAATACAATGATATGATGCGGGGTTCAAGTATGTTCCACAAATACTCGAGGGATTGGAAATATTTGAATTAATGTTGGAAAATGAGTTTGGGGTATAGCGAGATGTGATGTTCCTCCTCTAGTAGAGCTACTATATATTCCTAACAAGTTTATAGTACCGTGAGCTCTAATATTACTCATTGGTCGCACAATCTATTTGCCGTATGAATCTTTGTGAGATAGATTTTGAAAAGGATCTAAGGTGTGACATTTGTTGTCACTTGTGGTTCGGATCAACCCCATCATGTGCGAGTAGAAGATGTTGGAAAATACGGATAATGGGTCGTCCATGTGGGGTGACCCGACTCGCAGGATTTTAAAAGTGTTGGAGGGAGTGGTTTGAATTTAGAATTCAAACCTATAACTCTCAAGTAATCACTTGAAATTTCCATATAGAAGTTATGGAAAAAGGAACAAGAAGGTGGTATGAAAAATATGGTGAAAATTCGTATGTAAATTCACACCAAAATTGAAAAGCCCCTAAAATCACATTTTTGGCATGAAGTCTCACAAGAAATGACACTTAGTTTGTAGATAATAATCTCCTTCCATAGTGATTGGGATTTGGACAATTGGAGTACAAGAAAATGCAAATTTTAGAGATTTGAAGGCAAGGTGATTCAACCACACAAAAATCTTGAAATTCATCTTTTCTAGTAAATTTGTTGGCCCAAAATTCGTGTCAAAGCATGCTACGATTTTTCCTTCATCTTTGTTTTCGAAATGTGAAGGACTCGAATATAAAAATAATACCCTTTTGTTTATTGGGAAAAGTAAAAACATTAAAGAGAAAAAGAAACGAAATATCACAACTTAAATTACCCATGTTGTTGCTCTGATAAGTAATAATCTACGCAAATAAATTATTTATGGACTATGACATGTATGTTTTGAAGTATCTAAAGGAGCAGAAAATAAAGCCCAGTAGGAAAATTAAGACGAACTATTATCTTGGTAGATTACCCAATTCAATTTTCCATATTTTTCGGCCTATAAGAAAATAACAGAAGCTAATATTTGAATGAAAATGAGAAAACATGTACCTTTCCGCAAGCATATTAGATCCCTCTTCATACAATTCCTCCACAACTCCAACAACGGTTGGTTTATAAGTTTCTTTAGTAGAACATTGAGACCGCTTTCGAAAGATAAGCAGTGGGTTGAGCAAATTTTGTTTCTTTCTAGGTGTTTGGGGCAAAATTAGATGGTCGCGATGAATAATATCAACAACCAAGTGAGTTGTGTCATCCTTCAAACCCCATTACCTCAGTGCTTCAATTACCATAATGTTGTAAGGGCAAGACCTAAAAGAACAATTTGCACAATTAAATATTTATTAGTATGCATACCTTACCATCCACCTTTGCAGCAAGTTCTGCAAGTAAAACTGAATAAGACTGGGTAATATTACAGATGATAAAGCATTCCATATATCGTCAGAAGCAGTTTTAAGTCTTCCCCAAGCATTGAAAGTTAACATCAAACAGCAAGCTAAGAACTTGAAATATTTTAATATGACAATTTGCAATGTTAATTTTCTTTTAGGCTAATAGATTAATAATCTTCACTTGCTTAACATGAGGTACTTGGACGATGAACTCCCCAACATCTGTGTCTTCTATTGACTTTGAAACCAATTTTGTGTATCAACAACTGATCTCTGGATGCCGAAGACCTACTTAAAAATCGGAGAAGTTAGATTAGCACAAAATTTTATTGCGAAACAGGACCAAATCCATATAGCCTACTTAAAAATGAGAGAAGTCAGCATAGATAAGTGACGATTTCCAAAAAGAATACTTGGCATGATACGTGTATGACAACAAGATATTTGCCTCTTTATTAATAACTGACTGCTGTGAATAGCTTAGCCAAGTGTAAAATTGATGGCATTTGAGCTCCAAAGTTTCTCAATACCTGATGTGTCCCTCCCCCACTACACCGGCTATCCATTGCATAAAAAATTTTGGAAATAAAAGTAATTAATGTATAGAGCATGTACCTTCTTCACCCATACGCAAGAACTGCAGAGAATTTTCAGTTTTCATGTCCTCGTGCCACTCAAGAAAGCCCTGCCCGTGCCAATGTAATTTGCATTTTCATAAAACTTATCCATTTATCAGTTATTTTCCGAGCAAAAATGTCATCATCCGAGAGCCCTGCCCGTGCCAATTCATCCTGCGGCAGGTAGATCCTTCCTCTTCTTGCACTGTGTTCGTGTGAAACCCGCAAGCGTACGGGATCGTTAACACGTAATAGATTTAGTGAGTTAGAGTATCGTCCAGGAATAAAATTTAATCGAGTGTACTAGTCCTTAATTAGATTCAAAACGAGCAAATTAAAAGTGATTTTTTTAAATTTTTAATTATTCTAATTTAATCTACGAAAACGTATAAAATGTGAATTTAAAATGTATATAGGAAGAGTGTATTGGATTACGAATCCACCTATTATTATCTATTCTAATTCTTAACTACGTAGCTAATTTTGTTCTTGTATTCTTGATAATCGATAATTCTATTGTAATTAATTTTCTTTTTCAAAACAAATTAAATCTATCCTATTCACGACCCGATCCTATTCCTAGTCAGAATTCATATGAATAAAACATATTCAATTTCACAATTATCTCAAAGATTGCACACATGATAAATCTTATTCCTAAAATTTATTGCACATATGTTAATCATGCAATGTTCTAAACTTATTGTAAACCTCTCAACACTACAACAAGCAACTATATATTTAATTGGTGATCAGGTAATCAAATAATAAAATTAAGCATGCGAGATTAATCAACAATTGCAAGAATTTAACTAAATCACGTGTTTTGAATTAAAAATAAATAATAACGGGTTTCATCTTCATCCAATACATAAGATTGGAAAGACATCACCGGAAATTTAGGGAACGCGATTAATTCTCCAATTAAAGTTGCTGTTTTCTGTCCTTTTTCTTCCAATTTTCCGCCGGCTTTTGCGTGTACCTCCTTGCTGTGCGTGTATGTATGTATATAAATTAATTCCAGTTGGCAGCCCAAACGTTCTCTACTTCAATTACAGCTTGTGTTTGTTGTGTGTGTGTGTGTGTATATATATATATATATAAAATCAGCTGCCAAATTCTCCTCAAAAGCAACTCTAATCCTCCTCCAAATTCAGCCGTCAATATGTGTTTATATATTTCAGCAGCAGACCCCTTCTTTTCTCTCCTCCCTGCCTTGGTTTGCTATGTGAATGTATATAATTTTGCCCCCAGTAGCTACCCCAAATTCTGTGCCTATGTATATTATATATAATCACAGCACCCAAGGCAAACCTAATGTTTCTCCAAGTTGGCATTTTTGTCTGCATCTTCAAATTCTCTTTCTGTCGTTTTTCCCCCCCTTTCATTTCTGCCGGCCTGCATGTATATATATAATTAAAGTGGGACTTTTTTTTTATTTTTATTTCACCAAAGCAGCCCTTATTGTTTTATATGAGAAGAATTACAAAGTTGCCATAATGTTTGACTTCAAATCCACTTCCCCTCCTGTTGGCAATCGTTTCTTCTGTATATGTATCTTTTTCAGCCCAATTGTAATCCACTTTGGAGTCCAATTCACAAAATAATAGGTCCAGCCCGTTGTCTCTTTATTCCAGCAATTTGATTGCATTTTTATCCAATTTTCGTATTTCTTTCTCTCCAATTGCTTCCAACGAGTCATTCACTAAAAACAAAAGAAAATTAACTTAAGTTAAAATAAAAATTAATAATTTGACGACTTAAAAGTTTAATAATGTGGTATAAATAAATATACAAATTGCGTTTATCAAATACCTCTAAACTTAAACCTTTGTTCGTCCTCGAACAAAATTATAACTTAAATAACAACCAACACACAAACGTGCAAAAATATTTGGTTGGGCAATTTAACTTTTAACATTTGGATTTGACATCACCGTATTAAATTCACAAACTGCTTCAAAGTCAAAATCCAAATTAATATATACTTTTTCAATGCAAAATCGACGTGTGTGTGGGAAGAACTAAATTGACACTAATAAATTCACAAGTTGTTCCAATTTCCAACACTGTATGGTCAAATATATCCTTTCATCTCTCGTAAGATTTACATACCCCCAAACTTATTCTTTTTCACTCTTTTCCTAGTGTGTGATCTAAGATTGAATTTTTTATTACTATCATCACCCTCTCCAATTCAGGTGGACGTTACTAGTTACAAGTCAACACATTAATGAATAAGAATTCTCCAATTCATTGATTGCTTCGATTGTCAAAACTCAATTAAGCTAATTATCCTTCGTCAAAAGTCAAATTCACTTGAACAAGTGTTGAGACTTAACAAGGCAATAAGTGCTTTTGTTTTTTTGTTTTTTTTTTTTAAATTAAATTTTTTTTTGTTTCCCCCTTAAGTTTTCTAAATGATCAAAGTAGTAAACTTTAGGTCGATATCTCCCAAGTCAGATAACTTTAGAGCACCAGGTTTTAAAATACCCTTACATGCTTAATAACCCGAGTCAAAAAGGTTTTGAAGAGAACACATTTTTTTTGGTGCAACTTCATCTCCGATTACCTTTTAAATAACCTCTGTAGCGAGTTTTAGGCCGATGACTCCCAAGTCAGATGACTTTAGGGCACCAGGTTTTAAGATACCCTTGCATGCTTAATTACTCGAGTCATAAAGGCTTCAAAGAGAAGTTTTAAATTTTAAAATATATGCCTTGATTAGTGCAACATCCCTTATCACATACCTATTCAAGCAAATCGACCTCCAATTTACGACTTTCACTCAATTTTATCATGTTAATTTAAGACAATCCACACAAACTTTTTCACACAAAGAATCCACATTCACATCCGTATCTTCCTACAACAGTAAGATCTCCCCAAGTTGTACTAAATTTGGTCGAAGGATAATAATAAGTGTGGTTTAAGTAAATCATCTATGTCCAACTAAACAATCTGTCACATGTATGAATAAACTCATTTCATCACAATGTCAGTTCAGTTGTTGTGCACATATAATATCAAGTTTTGCATGTTTAAATCAATACCAAATCTCAAATTTAGTCATCATTGTCTGTCAAACTGTCTAACCCACACAAGCACACAATTAAAAATAAAATAAAATAAATTGATGAATTTTTTAAATAAACACTCAAATGAAAGCCAAGAATTCAAAGTTTTTCTCACTCCCAAACTTAAACCCGACATTGTCCTCAATATCTTAAAGTATAATTAAGAATGTAAGGGGACTAGAAAAAAAGGACGAAAGCACTCCCCGAATTTTTCTGATGAATATGGAAGGGACTATGGGTGACGGCCAAACAATTTTCCTCATTATGTTTTTCCTTGATTTATGTTGGTTTGAGTGTTCCAAGACGTCATGTTCCTACCTATGGCTATCAAATCAAACATTAGAGATCAAATAATCTAGAACATGTGTTACTTAGCCCAAACACTCGAAGTAACCAACATTAAATTTAAAGGTCTCAGTGAAAATATGATCGAATGATGATACCCTATAAATTTATATGTGCCTAAATCTAATGCAAACTAATAATTAAAACAAGTCTATATGCAATGCGATGCAGAAAATAAAATAAATAAATAATAATGAAATTGGGTTGCCTCCCAATAAGCGCTTAATTTATAGTCTTTAGCTAGACTTTGTTGTTTTGGCTATTTATGGTGGCTTAAAAAGAAAATTTTCAGCTCTACATTTTATGCACTGATTGCATTTCCTTCTTTCATCTTTCACACTCCACACAATTAAGTTTCCATTCCTGTCCCTATCAACAATTCTACCTTCATTTGACCTACCTTTGTAGCTCTCCCAATCATCAACTCATTGACAATCCTCAAAGTATGATGGTTGCTTGATTGGATTTTCCATGATGAAGATTTGCTGCTTATCCTCTACCCTTAAGACAATCTCGTTAGCATTAAAATCTAGCAAGGCTCGGCTTGTACACAAGAATGGCCTTCCCAGAATTATTGACATCTGATATGCCTCTTCAGTGTCGAGGATGATGAAGTCAGCTGGAAAAATAAACTCCCCCCACCTTGATAAGCATGTCTTCGACTATTCCGTAAGGGTGTTTCAGTGATTGGTCCGCCAGCTGAAGAATAATAAATGCCGCCTTAGGATCTCCTAATCCTAGTTTTCTGTAAAGAGGTAAGGGAATTAAATTAATACTCGCTCCTAAATCAATTAAACAATTTATATTATTTAAATTTCCTATGGAACAAGGTAGAGTGAAACTCCCTTGATCTTTAAGTTTGGGAGGGATCCTGTGCTGGATGATCGCACTACACTCTTCAGATAGTGCTATTGTTTCATGTTCTGACAGCTTTCTCTTCTTAGTCAACATCTCCTTAAAAAACTTAGCATAATTTGGAATTTGTAGAATAGCGTCAATAAAATGAATGTTGATGTGAAGTTGTCCGAGGGTGTCCAAGAAATTTTTGAATTGTTTGTCTAGTTTATTATTCTACAACCGTTGAGGGAATGGAACTAAAGGTGTGTTTTTATTGCTAAGAATGGTTATCTTGACCTGTGGATTATCTAACTATTCTTCTTGATTAACTTTTGATGATTTTCAGACTGACCCACTTGTTCTTCCCCCGAGGTAGGTACTCGATTCTCCTCAGTCCTCTTCTTCTTCACTGTGATTTCTGGCAGCTGAACTCCGCTTCTTGTTGTGATAGCCTGGATTCGTTCCTTTTTAGGTTATCTTTAAAGCCTTTGAGGGAATAGGATATGTGGCACATAAGCTCGAATAGGTGTAGCAGGCTTAATCGATGGTATCTCGATAGTTGTATAATTCACAGCTTCAACTGCTAATACCTGCTCCTTTGGGTTCTTTTCTGTATCGCTCGACAGAGTACCTTGTGCTCTGTTAGCTAATGTAGCTGTTATCTGTCCCACATGTTTCTCTAAGTTATGTATAGAGGCTTGCTGATTCTGTATCACCGTTTCAGTCTTGGTGATGTACTTGACAAGTAGATCCTCCAATGATTGCCTCTTTTCTTCTTGTTGCTGAATCCTTGGTGGATTGTCCCTCATCTGATTTACTTGATCTGAATTATCAACCCACGCGTAGTTAGGATGTTTGTTCAAACTCAGATGGTAGTTGTACAGGTATGGTCCATTTTGCCTCTGATGTTTTGCGCATAACTGACTTCTGCTGGCTAACCTATATGAGTAGAAGCCAAAGGGCAACTTGCAGTAATATGATCTGCCCCACAACCTGCGCATTTCGGAGT